GGGCCAATAAGCTCCCATTATACCTAGTTGGCCCAACACCGGTATCCACTCATTTAGCCCATACTCACTTAGGAATCTATTTGGGAATATTCAACTGACCACTTTAATTTATCCAATATATATATAAATAGCACAATATAATATGTGACCCACAATGATTATTAGAAAATATAGTTTCCTAACAATCTCCCACTTGGGTCACATGTTAACTTGAGAAAATTATATCATATATCTTTAGAGCGCAACTGTATGCTATTTTTCTTTAGATTCCTCCTTAGATACAATCTGGTCCACCTCATATATCAATATGAGATCATGGCGGCTTTTGTCACTTTCAAGCGTAACTAAACCTTCCATGGTCATCGCACCAATATATTCAATGACATAGATCAAGTATGGATGAGTGGCATGAAAATTACATGCAATGTGATCTGACTATGCCTATTTCCAATTGGTCCTACAGTAATCTTTATGAGATCAATCCTAAATTTTCTGCATACACAAAGCAGAAACACAAGCACAAAATATAATACATTTTGAGGGAAAATAACATTGAATTCTTTATTCTGCAGAAAACAAACATAAGAATATTTCATTTATTTATTTACATAGAACACCAACATAAAGAACTCCTTCTAAACCGTAGTGTCATCGATACTTGATCTAGTTAATTATAGGGTCCAATTTTTCTTATGTTGTAGGAGATAAATTTATCTCCTACACACATATAAAAATATGTGAAGGCCCATGTAAGGAAAAGAGATAGATGGAGAAAATATTGATCTCACACACTTTTATGGGTGTGTAGAATATAAATTTATCTCCTATAACATGAGAAACAATAAAACCTAATTTACATTGAGCAAAACTGCTAGAAAAACAAAGAGGAACAAGTCCTCTGTTTGCTTTTTGCTTTGTCAATCCAAATGTAAAGATCTTGTAATAATATTTTGTATTTTGCACGCAGCCAAAAGCTATGTTGCACCGACATCGACACGGGACACGACACGACATAACACGTCGAACACATTAATTTTAAAAAATGTTAGATTTTGACACGTTAGAATACGTTTTGATATTAAATAATAATTTTAATATATATAATATATTTATATTTAATACACATAACATGCCATAATAAGTCATATAACCAATTAAATATTCAAATTTCGTAACATAAATATAAAGCAAAAATAATTTTTCATACCTTGTTAATTTTTCATGTCAAATTCCATAACAGAAAATATTTGATTTATAAATTAATTTTTCATGTTAAGTTAAAAAGATAAAATATATTTACAAAAAAAAGATAAAATAAAATAAATTTTGGATCAGAAAAAATATATATCAGAACAAGATAAATGTTGGAACGCATGTTGGAGCGTTGACCGCATGTCGAAAACATATGTCGAAGCGTTGACAATATGTCCCAAAAAGTTGACCGCGTGTCGGACTCGTGTCAAAACGTGTCAGTGTTCGATACACATTTTTCACTCCAAATAATGTGTCCGTGATTCCAAGGCCAAACTTCACAAGAGTTAATAAAAGAAAAAAAATCATTACAAGTTGTTGGGGAATTTAGTGGATGTAAATTAGGGGATTTGATTGATTGTAATCACCTGTCAAATGTACCCCATAAAGAAGGGAGCAAATCACCTAATATCTTTGATTGTGCGCAAAATAAATTGGCCCAATTCTTATATCACCTTTTATTTAAATTTAAGGGAACCTCCCTCAAGCCACTAGGATTGGTCTAGTGGTGAGAGATTTGGGTAGTTTGTATTAGGTTACTTTTCAATTCCCACCATTGTATCTGAAAAAAGGGAATCTCCATTTTTAATCATCCACGGGATGGGGAGAAACATTGTCAGTGTGGATGTAGGCCTAACAGCTGAACTACGATAAATTCATATGTCTTTTTTATTGTTTTAACATGGTATCAAGAGCTAGTTAAAAATACATTTTTTTCCTTCCAAAGTTATACTAAAGTTTGATTATTTCCCCCTAAAATATCATTCCCTCCCCTAATATACTAAGTCTTTATGGATAATTCGAAGATCAGCCATCGCCATGATTTGTTCATCACCAACTAGCATCAGTCGGGCGTCCACCAACACTGCCGGCTCCTCTCGACTTCGCTTTCCCGTATTCGTCCCTACAACACCATCGAACACCAACATCGTTTGCTCCTGTTTGCACCGTCGGACATCAGCATCGTTCCGTCTCTTGCCGCCACCGTCTATAACATCTTTGGACATCGACTACAGCATTGTCCACTTTTGTCGCGTTGTGCTGCCATTTCTCCGGCAAATTCTGACTTGCCTTGTGTTGCGTTTGCCTTCCAATGACCGTTGTGCCAGCCTATTAAAGTATATCACTCGCCTATACCTCTTCCTTCCACCAAGTAGATATGATCATCGAGTAGATCTGTTCGAGTATATCTGCCATTTCAAACTTTTCACATCGCGCAGTGCCTCGGTTGTTGCCTTGTGTGACCGTTGTTAAAAATGGATGTTAAAAATGCCTTTTTGCATGGAGAACTTGAAGAAGAGGTCTACTTGGACATACCTCCAGGTCATCCTCTTGGTTCTCTGCTTGGTAAAATGTGCAAATTAAAGCGGGCAATCTATGGTCTAAAATAATCTCCTCGTGCCTGGTATGGAAAGTTGAGCACACATTGTATTTGGGTTCTTCAAAAGTAAGTCACACTACACCTTATTTATCAATCATTGGTTGGAAATAATATTGTTGTCCTTAAATATGTATATGATATAGTTATTTCTGGGAATAGTTCCTGCGTAAACCAACACAAGATCACATGAATCTAGCATACTAGATATTTAGATGCTTGAAGTCCGGTCTAGGAAAAGGCATATGGTTGAAAAGGAAAAACCACAATGATATTGTGGGGCATGCTGATTCTGAATAGGCTAGTAGCCCATATGATAGATGATCAACCTCTAGTTTTTGCATCTTTTTTGGAGGCAACCTTGTTTCTTGGAAAATTAAAAAAACAAAGTGTAATAGCTAATTATAGTGCAAAAGTAGAATATCGTGTTATGGCCTCAGCCACTAGTGAGCTTATATGGCTCAAAGATCTCTTGTTCGATCTCACTTTGAAAAAATTGGATTTCCCTATTAAGTTGTAAATCGATAATCAAGCAGCTATTCATATCGCATCCAGTGCAGTGTGTCACGAGAGAACTAAACACATTAAAGTGGATTGCCATTTCGTTCGGAAAAAGGTTCAGGCTAAGATTATTGAAACACTATATATCTAAAGCGAAGACCAATTAGCAAACATGTTCACAAAGGCTCTCCTAAAGAATTCCTTTCAAAATATCATTGTCAAGCTGAGCTTAATTGACATCTTAGCTTCAACTTGGAGGGGGGTGTTGGAGAATTTAGTGGATGTAAATCAGAAAATTTGATTGATTGTAATCACTGGTCAAATATACCCCATAAAGAGGGAAACAAATCACCTGATATCTTTGATTGTTGGCAAAATAATTTGACCCAATTATTGTATCACCTACTATTTATATTGAAGGGAACCCCCTTCCTTTATGATCATTGAGAGGGGAAGAAATATGATCAGTGTGGACGTAAGCCTAATGATTAAACCATGATAAATTCACATGACTTTTCTATTGTTTTAAGAAAATACTTATATCTATTTGTAATTAAGCAAATCCATCTATTTATAAAGGGAAAGGATATTGTGACAACCAAGTTGTGTTACTACCAAGTGACTACCAATCAATCTCACCGTTAGATTGATTGTGTTGATCTAACGGTTATATTTATTTCCATCTTTGTATGGTTATGATTCCTCATATTTAAAGTGAAAGCATTAAATATGGGAAATCATAACCATAAAAGGTGAAAATAAATATAAAGTATTAAATTTGGGAAATCATGACCATACAAAGGTGGAAATAAATATAACCGTTGGATTAATATAATCGATCTAACGGTAAGATTGATTGGCAGTCACTTGGTAGTAACACAACTTGGTTGTCACAATATCCTTCCCCATTATAAAAGGGTAATACTTTTCGTGTGTTACATAAGAAGAATATTATCTCCTATCCAAATAATAAATAAGAGAGAAAAAAAAAATTCTGGTGTGACCCATTTAAAAATTGTGAGTGTAGGAGATAATATTTTTTTTATTTCTTATGTAACATAAGTAAAGTGGAGATGAGATATTCTTACTATCAAAAAAATCTACTACCAACGTACTACCTATCTAATCATCATTGAATCAGAAAGACTGAATGCTAAAAAAAAATTTAAGGAAAGAGAAAATATTAATCCAATAATAATTAAATAGATAATTGGTTGGTAGTAAGTTTTTTTAATACTATCCTCGTTGACTACTTCGAAAGTATGTGAGGAAAAAATTAAACCGTGCAACGTGGGTTTCTGGAATAGTACAAAGCTTGACCATACAAATTGACCAAGATACATTGATCATGTAAACGGTGGAATCATCATGGCAATAACTATATCTGCTTGCGCTTGAATCCACTGGCCTGCTAGAAATATGCATTTTCTTGGAAAGCCTCAAGCAACAACTAAACAACCTAAGGTACAAGACCTAACATTTGGTGTAATGGTAGGTAATAATATTATTGGTTTCAGAGTCATTGTGAAACATGTTTGATTTCGTTTCCAAAATTCGAGATTCAAAGTATGTAAGGAATTTTCAATAGACCAAAATGCTAGTTAGTTCGTGATACATAGAGTAATGCAAGTTAATTTCCTAGCAAATTTGATGTGTTGTGTGTGTTGGAGCGTGTTTTCAGTACATGGGTGCGCCTATATGGTATTTGTGCGAGAAATGCTTGGAATATTTGTCAACAACAAAGAAGATTTAGCAAGTCTTCCACTTTATACGACTAAAATAAAACACACAATTTATATTTCACCATTTATTATTATTTTATAAAAACAATTGATCGGATAAAAAAATGGATGTTGGGGAGGAATAAATAGAGCTCGGATGCATATATTTTCATCTAATTGTTTAAGATGTTAGTAATTGACCCATCAATTACAACAATGCGCGAATTCGTCACAGCTCCTAACAAATACACCATGCGGGGCTCGAATACCGGCCCTTAGAATGGCAGAACAACATTCAACCACTCGACCGCTAGTGGTACTTGTTAACGGAGATGCGTTGAATTATCTCAGTCATTAAATCAATCTTGATATTTGTACATTCGGTTATGAGATGTTCATGACCGGGATCGAACTGATTTGAATTTTTAAAAAAATTGTCGATTTTCCATCGAAAATGTTGGACGATGGAATCACAATAATTTTGACAAATTTTGGACTTCCATTCCATCGAAATTGACTTATTATTTTCGACGGAAAGTTTTTGAGCGAAAATTTGTCTTGCCTTTTATTATTGATAGAATCTATGTTCGGTTGAAAAAAAATGAAATTGTTTTTTAATAGAAAATTAAATTCTTAGCTAATAAATCGTAATAGAAGTACCTGATTATTAAGACAATCAAGACATATTAAAAATATGCAACCAACTAACATACTACTGTACTAAAATAATCCATATAATTTACAAATCAAATGCCTGAAAAAAAGTACACAAATGTCATTTGTGCGGTACATCATTGTGGTCAGGAGTAAGATCTTCATCTTCAAAGTTTGGGTCCTGAGGAGGGGGCTGAGTGTGTCCATTTGCAAAAATAAAGGGAATCCAAATACGCATTTGACATGCAGCGCACTGTTCTTTGCAACCGCTCCAACATCATTTTCATTGTCTTTATCTGTATATGTTAATGTATAAGTTTTGTATATGACTTGTGAAGATTATTATCATTTATCAGTCCTCACATAGGCATATGTAAGATGCTCTAATGGTATATAAGACTTGAAAAAGGGTATTCTAATATATTATAGAATTGTAAATAATCTGTACAAAGGGTTCTCTATTTATAGAGAATATTTGACCTACTTTTAACCTAATGGGCTTGACCCAATACAACAAAGGGCTTGGCCCAATACAACAATAAATGACTAAATAAAAACTAAATAATAACTAAATCAATATTATTTACAACACTCCCCCTCAAGCTGAGGAATAAATATTTATCATTCCCAGCTTGCTAGTAAGTTCTTGAAATCTGTCTGAAGGAAACCCCTTTGTTAATAGATCAGCCAATTGACGCCCAGTGGGAATGTATGGAGTGGTAATCAACCCATTATCAAGTTTCTCTTTGATAAAATGGCGGTCAACCTCAATATGTTTAGTCCGATCATGTTGAACTGGATTATGAGCTATACAAATAGCGGACTTATTATCACATAGCAGCTTCATAGGTCCCTCACATTTTATTTTGAGATCATCAAGAATAATTTTCAGCCACAGTAACTCACAAATGCCTTGAGCCATAGCTCGAAATTCAGCTTCTGCACTTGATCTGGCAACCACATCTTGTTTCTTACTTCTCCATGTCACCAAGTTACCGCAAAGAAACATGCAATAACCAGTGGTAGAACAACGGTCAGTCACGGATCCAGCATAATCAGCATCTGTGTAGACTTCTAAAGATAGATTGCCATCACGTCGGAATAACAATCCTTTACCAGGAGTACCTTTAAGATACTGAAGAATTCTCTCTACTGCCTGCATGTGTTTTTCTTTTGGATCGTGCATAAACTGACTGACAACACTAACAGCATAAGCTAGGTCTGGTCTAGTATGGGCCAGATATATCAATTTCCCAACTAGCCTTTGATATTGTCCTTTATCAACTGGAGGACTCTCTTCTTCATAGCCCATTTTGTGATTCTGCTCAATAGGAGTATTAGAGGGTTTACACCCGAGCTTTCCTGCTTCTTTGAGAAGATCAAGAACATATTTCCTCTGGCTGATAAAAATTCCTTTGCTTGAATGAGCTACTTCTATCCCTAGGAAATATCTCAGTTTCCCAAGGTCTTTGATTTCAAACTCAGAGGCAAGCCGTGTTTGCAGAATCTGTCTCTCCACAAAATCATCACCTGTGATAATAATATCATCAACATATACAAGGAGCACAGTAAGCTTCCCATTTTGGGAGTGCTTGAAGAAAAGAGTGTGATCGCCTTGGCTCTGTCTGTATCCTAAGGTCATCATAACTTTAGTAAATCTTCCAAACCAAGCACGAGGTGACTGCTTCAATCCATACAAGGCCTTTTTTAATCTACAAACTTTATTTTCCCCCTTCACAGAATCAAAACCAGGCGGGATTTCCATGTAGACTTCTTCTTCTAACTCACCATTGAGGAAAGCATTTTTCACATCAAATTGATTTATATCCCAATTGTAATGGGCAGCAAGGGATAACAAGATTCTCACTGTATTCATCTTTGCAACTGGAGCAAAGGTTTCTTCATAATCAATGCCATAGGTTTGAGTGTAACCTTTGGCCACTAATCGAGCCTTATATCTCTCAAGAGTGCCATCAGAATTATATTTCAGGGTATAAACCCATCTGCACCCTACTGCTTTCTTTCCGTTGGGTTTATCAATAACCTCCCATGTTTTATTTTTCTCCAAAGCATTCATCTCCTCTTGCATGGCTTGAGCCCAATTCCTATCTTTCAAGGCTTCATGTACTGATTTTGGGATTGCAATAGAATCTAGTGCTGAAACAAAGCTTTTGTGCTGCACAGAAAGATTAGCAGAGGAAACAAAGTGGGAGATAGGGTATTGAGTACAAGAGGGACAGGAGGAACAAGTTTTCTTATGACAAGATCTTTTTCCTTTTCTAAGAGAAATAGGTAAGTCATCAGAAGTAGAAGCAATGGGTAAGTCATTAGAGATATCAGAAGAAATAATATTAGAATCAGAAACAGGAGATTCAGAAGAAATAGGAGATTCAGGACTTACCAGTGGTTCAGACGATTGAGGTTGCTGGTGAGACAGTATGGGTTGTATCTCAAGTGTATTTGAAGGTTCTGACACACCAGGAGCAGACACACTAGGAAGAGAGAAGATTGATCCAGACTCAAAGAAGGAAGGGGACGAGTCTTCTGAAGAACTATTCTCCCCCTGACGATGAGGACCCAGGAAATAAGATTCAGATTCTTGAAAGGTGACATCCATAGAAACAAAAAATTTCCGACTTGGTGGATGATAACACTTGTACCCTTTTTTATAAGGGTTATAACCAAGGAAGACACACTTAAGAGCCCTAGGATCCAACTTACTCCGATGTTGTTTATGAACATGGACAAAGGCAACACATCCAAACACTCTTGGTGGAAGGCTCTGCAATATGGGAACAGAAGGAAAGAACGAAGTCATGGAATGAATAGGACTGATATTGTTAAGGACCCGTGAAGGTAAACGGTTGATCAAAAAAGTTGCAGCTAATACTGCTTCTCCCCAATAAGAACTAGGAACAGATGTCTGAAAAAGTAGTGCTCTAGCAACTTCAAGAAGGTGACGATTTTTCTTTTCAGCAACCCCGTTTTGTTGAGGGGTATCAACACATGTGAGCTCATGAATCATACCTCTGTCTGAAATGAATTGTGACAGGCGTTGATTGACGTACTCAGTACCATTATCAGATCTGAGTCTTTTAATACCTTTATCAAACTGAGTCTCAACCATGTGATGAAACCGAATAAATATCTCTGGTACTTCAGATTTGTCTTTCATCAAGTATATCCATGTTATCCGAGTACAATCGTCAATAAAAGAAACAAACCACCTAGCACCTGAAACACTGTGCACTTTAGAAGGGCCCCAAACATCAGAATGGATAAGAGAAAAAGGTTCTCTGCTTTTAATAGTGCTAGAAGGAAATGACACTCGATGGTGTTTTGCAAATTCACAAACATCACAATGAAAGGTCTCAACCGACTTATTGAGAAACAGAGAGGGGAACATAGACTTCAAAAGACTAAATGGTGGATGCCCGAGACGCTTGTGATGGAGCCAAATCATAGACTCTGCAGTAGAAGGATGACGTGTCATTAATAACTGATTTTTGCTAGCATGGTCTGGAAGGAGATGATACAACCCATCCTGTTCATTAGCAACTCCAATTGTCTTCTTCGTGGTAAGATCCTGAATAAGACAATGAGAAGGAAAAAATGTGATAGAATAATTCAAATCAGTTGTAAGTTTTTGAGTGGAGATAAGATTAGTAGAAAGCTGAGGAACATAAAGAACATTTTTAAGAAACAAGGAAGGTTGAATTTGAATGTTACCAGAACCAATAACTGATTTATGGGATCCATCAGCTACGGATATAGTATGACTACCAACAGTAGGATGATAAGAACAAAATAACTCAGTACGACAAGCCATATGATCAGTTGCACCAGAATCCAAAATCCATGAGGTTTTAAAATCAGTGCAAGAAGCAAGAAGAGATATAGAACGTGTGCTCTTACCAGATAAGATCGAAGAACTATCATGCTCAGCCATTCTTTAACAAAAAAAGTTAACAACCAGCGATAAAATCAACCAAACAGAATATCAATTGACCTCTGATCAGAAAAATAATTACAGATCCAGACAGAAGACAAGAAGACGAGAAGAATGGCGGTGGTCCGGTCCAAAAACACGGCCGCACGCGCCTCCACGCGCCGGAGAAAGGAGCTGCGCGTGGGATTCACTCGCCGGGAAAGGGGCGGCGCGTGAGAGCGCGTGGATGGGCTTCGCCGGCTGATATTTTTCTGGTGTGGTCGTCCGGTGAGCGCACACCTGTCTGTGGGTGGTCGCGGTTGAAAAGTCGCCGGAAAGTGGTCCAAACGGTGAAGACAGATCTGATTGGAGGCGATCGGAGGTGTTTCGGTCGTTTGTGGCGGAGGAACACTGCGTAGAATGATAGATCGGAGGAAAAATAAGGTCAACAATGGTCCCCTTGGTCCAAAAGGTCCCCAGAAAAATTTTCCGGTGGCGGCTAATGGCGGCAAGAGGCAAAGAAATTAGGGTTTTGTTAAAAAAGAAGATAATATGTGCGGAAGCAAAGCCCTCAGATCGAGAGCTCTGATACCAACTTGAAAAAGGGTATTCTAATATATTATAGAATTGTAAATAATCTGTACAAAGGGTTCTCTATTTATAGAGAATATTTGACCTACTTTTAACCTAATGGGCTTGGCCCAATACAACAATAAATGACTAAATAAAAACTAAATAATAACTAAATCAATATTATTTACAACAATAAGTTTTTTTTTTATTTTTTTTTTATTTTACAAGAGTATATAAGTTAGTTATGAACATTATGGGTGGACATGAGTGGGCCTGAACTGAACTGAACTGAAGTGAATTGGTTTAAAACTTTTAATTGAACTGATTCGGTTTGGTTCGGTTCAAAATTGATTCAATTTGATTCAAATTTGATTCGAACTGAGCTGATTTTAAACTGGTTTCGAATCAATTATGAACTAGAACCATTTCCAAACTGGTTTGAATTGCAAAATTCTTATATATTTTTTTTTTGAAATAAACACACATGAGACTCACATTAAAAAAGTATGAAAATAATGAGGAAAAATAATAATACCACAAATCTGAAAAAAGTAAACAATTAAAAAATATAGAGTAAAAATAAGGAACAAAATAAATAAAGAAGAAAATTAGGGAGAAAAAAAATAAAAAAAATAAGAGAATAAAAAAAAAATCAGTTTGATTCATAGTTTTTTAAACTAGTTCGGTTCTTAAATTGATTTTGAAAACTAGTTCATTTCATTAACTGATTTTTCAGAAACAGTTCAGTTCAATAAATAATTTTTAAAAAACATTTCAATTCAAAAACTAATTTTTAATTTTTTAAATGCTGCTCAATTTAATTCACAATTCACTTCAATTTTTGGTGTTTTTTAGACACGTGTATCTTTCCTTGTGAGATATCTCTTAGTTGCTCAACCTAGGTGGGACCTCGTGTCTATCGTGCAGTCATTGGTTATTAAAGAGGTTTATCAATACTCTGTTGTTGGACACTTAATTTTTTCTTTAGGGCCCGTACGCATCTCTAACAAGTTTCCTTATGGGTTAACTATTCATTATGGGCTTTATGTTGGGATGTTGTTACTTGTTGGAGTGAACCTTCTATGTGGTTTAGTATAGGTCGAGATCAAAAGTGTTAGAGCAGTTTTCAATAACTCGTATAAATCCAATAACTGATAGAATTGATATGTAAGTTGACGCAGCGCAAATGTATTTGTATTTTTCTCAATTAAAAAGGCAATTTAAAAATAAAACAGAAATTGCAAACCAAGACAAAAAGAATTGAGATGAAATAAGATTTAAACTCGTTCGAGTATACTTTCCCCGCTCTAGGGATCCAATACATTGATATCAATCATGTTAGGCGGATCCAGAGGAAGCAAATGACGAGGGTCACCACCAATAGGCCATGTTACTCCAAATACACCAAGTGGTTTCGACATCACATCTCAACCCAAAACCTTAAGGCATTGGGTTCATGGGTCCTTTCACTTATATACTCTTCACATAGCTTATTACCAACCAATGTAGGACTCATCACACTTGAATATATCAACAATCTCCCCTTCAAGTGTGAAACCCACCATTGATTTGCTCCCTCTCAACCGAGTACCCTAGAGGCCCAAGTACTCAACCTTCCTCATAGCCAATCACCAGGCTAGCTCGAGCACAACCCGGCTCTGATACCACTGTCAGGCTGGTCCAGGGGGAAGCCCGTGGCGGGAGACCACCACCAATTGTTGGAAATCGACAACACACAAATCTAAAACGGAAAAGAAAAAGAGAGAGAGAATAGACACAACGATTTACCCTGGTTCACCCAATTTAGGCTACGTCCAGCTTGTCTGTACTATATTCACCTCGCCGTCACTCGTTACAAGTCTCTCGGTTTATAAGACAAATATAAATAGGATTAAAAAACCCAAACAACAGCTATTCATGGGCTCAAGCCCAAACTTCAGTTGCCTGAATAGCTCAAGCCCAAACTCCAGTTGCCTTTCTGCTGACCCCGATAATTAGGGTCCTCATCAGCATGCGAAGTATGAGCCATACCCAACACCAATGAGCTAAGCAGATCAAATACACCAAGTGGCGACACCACATCTCAACCCAAAACCTTAAGGCATTGGGTTCATGGGTCCTTCCACTTATATATTCTTCACTTAGTCCATTACCAACCAATGTGAGACTTATCACATTTGAATATCCCAACAATCTCTCCCTCAAGTGTGAAACCCCCACCATTGGTATGCTCCCCCTCAACCGAGTACCCCAAGCGCAAAGTACTCGACCCGCCTCCTAGCCAATCACATGGCTAGCTCGAGCACAACCCGACTCTGTTACCAATGGCAGGCGGGTTCAGGGGGAAGCCCGTGGCGGGGGGTCACCACCAATGAGCTAAGGCTACACCAACCGTAGTAAGTGGATTCGACACCATGCCTCAACCCAAAACCTTAAGGCATTGGGTTCATGGGTCCCTTCCACTTATATACTCTTCACATAACCCATTACCAACCAATGTGAGACTTATCACACTTGAATATCCCAACAATTTCTCCCTCAAGTGTGAAACCCACCATTAATATGCTCCCCCTCAACCGAGTACCCGAAGCGCAAAGTACTCGACCCATGAACCCCCCGCCGGGCCAGACCAGACCAGACCAGACCGTCGTTCTACCACTGGTTATTGCATATTTCTTTGCGGTAACTTGGTGACATGGAGAAGTAAGAAACAAGATGTGGTTTCCAGATCAAGTGCAGAAGCTGAATTTCGAGCTATGGCTCAAGGCATTTGTGAGTTACTGTGGCTGAAAATTATTCTTGATGATCTCAAAATAAAATGTGAGGGACCTATGAAGCTGCTATGTGATAATAAGTCCGCTATTTGTATAGCTCATAATCCAGTTTAACATGATCGGACTAAACATATTGAGGTTGACCGCCATTTCATCAAAGAGAAACTTGATAGCGGGTTGATTACCACTCCATACATTCCCACTGGGCGTCAATTGGCTGATCTATTAACAAAGGGGCTTCCTTCAGACAGATTTCAAGAACTTACTAGCAAGCTGGGAATGATAAATATCTATTCCTCAGCTTGAGGGGGAGTGTTGTATTTCAGGGCATGATAAACATCAGAATTATATTTATCTCCACCAATGTGGGCTTCACTCGCGGTTGAAGGGGTGGCGCGTGTGGGCGCGTGTGGTGGCCGTCCAGTCTGAAATTTCTGGAGCAACGTCGTCCGGTGAGCGCGGTTCTTTCTGGGTCTGTTCGGAGTTGAAAATCCACTGGGAAAGGGTCCAATTGTGATGAACAGATGCTGTCTTGTGATGAAGAATAATGGAGACGATGAACAGTAACAGAGATCCAGTATAACAGAGATCTTCTCGGTCCAAGAGGTCCCCGGAAAAAAAAATCCGGTGGCGGCTGATGGCAGCGAGAGACAAAAAGAATAAAAGGTTCTTGTTCTAAAGACAATAGGCGCGGAAGCAGAGCCCTCAGGATCGAGAGCTCTGATACCAAATGTAACAGCCCCAAACCCTGTAGCATGATATTGTCCGCTTTGCCCCGTGCACAAGCACCGTCGAGCTCACGGTTTTGTTTCTTGGGACACCCCACAAAAGGCCTCACACTAGAAGAGGTATCCATACCCTTATAAGGTATGCTTCGTTCCCCTCTCCAACCGATGTGGGACATTACATCCTCCCCCACTGGGAATACAGCGACCCCGCTGTACACACCGGTCCAGGGCCAGACTCCAGGCTCTGATACCAACTTGAAATAAAAGGGTATTTAAAATATTATTGAATCGTATTTGAATCTGTACATAGGGGTCTCTATTTATAGAGACTTCTTGACCTAATTTTGACCTAATGGGCTTGGCCCAATATACAAGTAACGGACTAAATAAATACAAATAAATGACTACATAATTACTAATAAATGACTACATAATTACTAATAAATGACTACATAATTACTATTTACAACACTCCCTCAAGTGTGAAACCCACCATTAATATGCTCCCCCTCAACCGAGTACCCGAAGCGCAAAGTACTCGACCCGCCTCCTGGCCAATCACCAGGCTAGCTCGAGTCCAATCTGGCTCTGATACCACTGTTAGGCGGGTCCAGAGGAAGCCCGTGGCGGGGGGCCACCACCAATGGGCCATGTTACTCCAAATACACCAAGTGGTTTCGACGCCACATCTCAACCCAAAACCTTAAAGCATTGGGTTCATGGATCCTTCCACTTAAATACTTTTCACATAGCCCATTACCAATCAATGTGAGACTCATCACATTTGAATATATCAACAAATCACGATAACAAAATGTTACTCACATTACTTAAATATTGTATAGAATGCAATACATTATCCACTCTCTCTCTTCCTTTATCTATTTCTTTCTCTTACTTAAAATGACATAATTTTACATCCTTTAAAATGATACACGCTTCTCTCATTTACTTATAACTTGTAAGTTGTAATGGAGCTGGTAATTTTTCCATTTTATTTTTGATGAATCCTTCTTTCTTGCTGTTTATTACAATTGTTCTTTATTTTGTATACATTACAAAACCTTCAAAGATTTCATTGGTAATTTAACCAAACAGCTGGAATCCCTGTTACAACTCCAGTTAAGCCATTACCGGCAACCGGCACTCCCTTCACGGGCAATGACATAGAATTCGAACAAGAATGTTCTGACACTTTTACCCTCACTGAAACATTTATTACCCCATTCCTCCTACATTTACTATCCCATAACCTATAGCTTAAGAAATGCACTTGATTTTCAGGTACATACCCTCCAATAAAATCCGAAACTGGAATTTTAGCCATTCCAACACTGTTACTCCCTGTTGATGATGTTTTGCATTTCACCTCAACTATTATGAAACTTGCATGCAATGGCACGTTTATTATTACCTTCTCATTCCATGAAGGGTAACTCCCTCCTTCTGAATCCACTTTCGTTGTACTCACATCACTGCATGCGTCGGTTTGAACCGTCACAAATGCGTTCCCTCTTATGAATCTTTTGTTCACTTGGAGGTTTTCTGCTTTCAAAATGGTGATCTCTACAGTTCTTGACATCGTGTGTGATGATTCTTTCAAAATGTGGAAAACAATGATGAAGTGTGTGTGTAGGTTTAGAACTTTGGATGGAAAATGAGAATGATATTGTGGAATCTGAAAGGTTTAGAGTAGAAAGAGAAGGGGAATGAGAATGTTTATATATTTGAAGTTTTGGGAAACATGAGAGAAACAAGACAGAAAGAGAGAGGTTGTTTCTTTTTCTTTGATGTACTTTCTCGTGTTCTGAAACAATTATAATGTAACGGAAGTCATTGACAGTGTTTGACGCTTCCAGACACGGTCGAACTTTAAAAAAAGGCTGTGGCCGTTAGACTTGACGGCGGAATCTACTTGGAAGTTTCGTTGCTGTTGGGATGAATTTTCAAATTTCAACCGTTTCCCGGAAATATAAATAATCTTTTATAAATCTTAATATTAATATTTCTTACGTTGTTGAAAATAAATTTATCTCTTACACATATAATAATGTGTGGGTCCCACATGTGAGAAAAAGAGAAAGAAAAAAAATATGAATACATTTTTATTCATTTCATATTTACCTTGAAGAAAAAGAAATTTTAAGACAATCTAATGGATATTTTTTTCCTTTTAAAGGATATAAGTTTATATCCTTTTAGATCCTAACCGTTGATTTCCGTCCATCAACGGTTATAATCTATTGGGCCAAACTTAATGAGCCAAATTTATTATTAATTAATTAATAATTTTAATCCAATAAATTATAACCGTTGATGGACGGAAATAAACGGTTAGGATCTAAAATGATATAAGTTTATATCCTTTAAAAGAATAGATGTTATTCCCTATTTTTTTTTTTATAGGAAAAGTGTTTGTCATTTTAAACGACGTAAAGTTATGTCATTTTAAGAGAGAGATATATATAAAATAATATATTTTATTTAAAATTTAAACTAAAAAAATACCCACTTTCTCTCTCATGATCTTCATTTCTTGTGTCTATCTTTCTACTAAAATGACATAACTTATGTTATTTAAAATGATAAATATTAACCCCATTTTTTATTTAATATTTTTTTATTAGATTAAGTATAACGTAATATAGTATATAACAAAATTTTACACTTGTACTGATTTTATTTATTTTTTATTATAATAGTTTTGCAACTTGGAAGATTTGGTAATGAAAATCCTTTGGAAAAGTTTGATGTACTTGCAGAAGAGTTGGGGAATTTTAATTGGTTATGGTTTAGTTGTTCTCCAAAATCCCCTTCCTAAGTAAATTCCAAGGGAGAAAAGTTCAATGTTGTGTTTGTTATGTTTTCTTTTTCTTTGATGAGATTTATGGTTTGTAGTTTCCACTGAATAAGGGTCTTATTCCGACCAAGTCAACTGTCCCTGTTGTTCGGAAACACTGCGGGTTGACTGCTTCTTGTGGACAACGAGGGACATATTACCAGGAAGCTTACTAGTTTGGAGACAAGTGGCAGATTCCAACGAGATTCTGTTAACACTGGACACAACTTGCAAAATGAGTTTGGAGTTTAAGATAACACGATGGTTTGGAAAAATTACGAATGGTGTTTCAAGGATGTTTCCTTCCCTTATTGAATTTGTTGTGCAATAAATAAGTTAGTACGAGTAGGTTGGGAGGAAGGTCATGGATTAAACAATCATAGAAAATAAGTTAAGAAAAGATGACTAGCATTATATGGATACCGGATAATTAATATTGAGACCACAAAGCACGTGGATTGTTCCACTTTAATAGCTTTTATAATCCATTAATTAATGAAATGGTAGAGATATTTCCAAAAAAGATAACTAATACTACGTGGATTGTTCTATATTTCAGTAGAATGTCACACCCACTCAGCTCCATTAATTTGTTTTCTCTCTTCTCGTCAGTGCGGAGAAAAAAAATATTTCGCAATTAAAAAAGAAATATTTTTTTCTAACTAACATATATATATAATTATAATGTCACACCGGTGTAAGATGATCTTGCCCTATATATATATATGTGAGAAAAATATATATGCAATTAATGCAGATAAGTTATTTGCATTTATTCCCAAAACGATGTCATTTTGGCATTGAAATCTTAAAAAATTATAAATATAAAGACTATTATAACCCTGAAATAAATTAAAATTACAAAAATACTATGATTCCCGCCCCAAAGCGACGTCGTATTGGCTTACTGCAGATAACTTATCTGCAGTAACTGTAGAAAAAGCGAACCCTATATATATATGGTAAAATTATTTCTGCAGCCGCTTTACGTACAACAACGACATATGTATGGTTATGATACCCCACATTTAATGCTTTCATCTTTTGTATGGTTATGATTCCCCGCATTTAATGCTTTCACGTATATATATGGTAAATATTTGATTGCTGCACGTACAGCAGCTGCAGAAATATAAACTCCTATATATATATATATATGATCATTTGACACCAGTGTCAAATTTAAAATTTGACACCTTATCTGAGAGCCGTTAGATAAAAAAAGATCATCAACTCTGATTTGTAAGCATGTGAGACTATTGATCTTTTTTGATTTAACGGTTCTCAGATGATATGTTAAACTTTAAATTTGACACCGGTGTCAAAGGATCCCGCCATATATATATATATATATATATATATATATATATATATATGTATGAGATAGAATTCTTTGATACCGATGTCAAATTTTAAAATTTGACACCAAATTATAACCGTTAATTTTCGTCAATCAACGGTTATCTTTTATTAGGAATCAAATTTATTAATTAACTATTAATTACCAATAAACGATAATCGTTGATTGGCGAAAATCAACTGGTTAGTATTTGTTGTCAAATTTCAAAGTTTGACACAAGTGTCAAAAATTTAACATTGGCGTCAAAGTGTCAAAAATTTAATATTGACGTCAAAGGATCTTGCCCACACACACTCAGATATATATATATATATATATATATATATATATATATATATATATATATATATGGCTTTATTAATCTCATGCAATAGGAGAGAAGTTCTCTCATGCTATAGAAACAATCATGTATGGGACCCACCCACTTATAAAAAAAGAAAAAAGAAAACAAGAAAACAAGACGGAAATCGATGTATGTGTAGGAGAGAAAATTAAACTTTATTAAAAACAAGTCGTAATTATTTCCAAAACTGTAATAAATGTGTAATTATTTTATTAAAAAACATTAATTAATTTTTTTTTGCACTCCTACAACATAAGAATATATTTTCCCATATATATATATATATATATATATATATATTATAATTAAAAAGCATCTTTAATGTCCCATATTATAATAGAATTGATAACAAATACCACTTTTCAAGATGGAAAAAGTATTTCTTCAGTAACTGATTATCTTCAGTGAGCTCAAAACGACGTCATTTTGGGTTATAAGATTAAAATATTATAATAATAAAGACTAATATAACCTTGCAATATATTAAAATTACAAAAATACCTTAATTTTCGTCCCAAAATGACATCGTTTTAGGCTCAGTGGAGATAATTTTATCTCCATTGACTGGAGAAATCCTTTACCCTTTCAAGATATGTAGGTTTTAACCTTTTGGTGTTTATTTAAAAATTAAGCCCCTATTTATATATAAAATTTTAATATATTGTAAATGGAACAAAATCAACTCACACTTGTATAAAAATAATAAATTTTATATTCAATTTTAATTATTGATCTATTTGTATCTAATAACTCATATTTCTAATAAATTAAAATTGTTAAATATAAACGAAATCAACAAGACAACAACTAAGATTAAGACTGTAAGGTGTAAGATAATATTCCCCAATTATATAAGTTGTTAATGTTTGTGTATTATCACTATATTATATTTGATTCTTCTAGATTGAACTTTCACTTATGAGGCATTTGGTAGGGGGGAAATTTTTTTTGTTCTAGGGAATCACGATTCCTAATAATATACTAGGAAAGTAAATTTTCCAGGAATGTTACCAAAAAACTGTTTTGATGCCAAAATATTCTCAGAAATGTTGGTGCAAGTTTTCTGATTTTATGTTTGGTTGATTGTCAATAATTCCTGAAAATGTGGACTGATTTTACAAAACTAATCTTTGATGAATTTTTGAATTTTTTTTCTAATATGTCACAAAGGGTCCAAACGCAACGTTGGAAATATTGCAATGAAACACCTCGAAATTCTATATATAGAACCAGCCAAAGTTACCTACTTCATAACCCTCCTCCCTCATTGTATATATGGCCATGCTAATTCTCATATTATGAAAGGTCTTTATAAAGACGACACAAGTTTATCTTATTTTTTCGGAAGTGTTCTCAGGGATTGAGACAGACACCTTTTATCATTTAACTTGCAAAATTCATTAGAAATACTGAAGAGAAACTTCGTGTCTACAGAAGAAGAGAACCCACCGGAGCGAAGTGACGTGAAACAGAGATCATGGCTGTTGATTCAATGTTGGAACCGAACAATTGTGGCGCTAGGTCACTGGAGCGAATCAGAGTAAAGTACAGAGGATCCTAGTAAAGGCGTCGTGAATGGGAAGAGAAGAACTTACGATTTTGTGAAACAGAGTATCATGGCTAGGACTTTAACAAAAGAGAGTATTTTAGTCAATAAAATATTAAAACTGAGTTATTTAGATCCTATAATTATATAAAGTTTTTCCCACCAGATGAGAATCCAAAAATACCATCCACCTGGTAGTATTATTTCATTATATTCTTATGCATAATTTTAATTCTTAGGAATCTTATTTTTCCAAGAAAAATTTAAGAATCTTTTACTAAACGTGGATAATTAGGATTTCCAATGTGAGTTTTATGGAAACCTAAAATTTATCCCTTTATCAAACGGCTCCTTAAAAAAAAAAAGTAAAGAAAATCAACTATTAATATTATGATAAATACTGGTATAACAATATGAATTTGTTATAAGTCATTCTCTTAATTTTTTCATCAATGATTAAAATCCCTCATTTTTCTCTCTATAATAAATTCCTCATTTTAGGGTAGCCAAATCCTAATATATCAAGAATTGAGCTGACCTGCTATTGATCGAAATAATTAATCAAAATTAAATTAGGCCTAATATTTATGGAAAAAGATTTTTTTTTTTTTTTTGGGTATGCAAGAATTTATTATTTTAAATGAAATAAAATTGTGTTCACTTTAATTAAAACAACTATGTTTTAGAGTAAAAAAAACAATTACACAATGGAAGATTATGGTCGGGGTGAGTGAGAAGTTATTAAGAGATTTTTTTAATTTAAATATTAAATAAAACACTATTATTTTACTTAAAATGATATAATTATATATCTTTTAAAACGACAAACACTTTTCCTAATATTTATTTATGAAAAAACTTTAAATTCAGTAGTAAAAATAATTTGTAAAGAGCATACCAAAAAAAAAAAATAATTTGTAAAGATTACCAAAAATAATAATAATAATAATTTGTAAATTTTGGGGCCTTGGGTCATTGCCTATATTGCTTAGTGGTTGGACCGGCCCTAAACTGCTCTCAGCTTAACTCATTTCCAATTTTGGTCCTATCCTCAAAAGTAAATTTCATATCTTAGGCAATTCATCTAAAAAAACAAAGTACAGAAAAAAGGAAGTATATAGAATAGTTAGAAATTAGAATAATTTGCCACAGGGTATCATATAGATAATTAACTTCATTATTTTCTCACACATTCCTTTCCTCCATAAATCAGTTAAAATCAGGGTTGCCAAAATCATCCATATGTAAAGTAAAAAAAAAACTAAAAACAAAAAACACGAAAAATGGATTTTATATGCTTTTGAGATTTAATATTTCTAATAAATTTACATCCCGTTACTAAAATTTCTCGGGGGAGGATAAAACATATTTATATATCTCCTTATGCCTCACAAACAGCATTGGATGATCCGGTCAGTGTAGTGTTGGCATATCCTTCACCTATATGATTTTTGAGAATATCCCCAAGATACTGCACTTGTTCGAATTCTCCTTGTAGTTCCTCCCACTACAAGAAATAGCACAAACGTTAACAAATTCTTCCCAGACAAATCAAGATTCCTATTCATTAGTCCTTAAATTGTCTGGTTGAGAACAAACTCAACTCTTATATCCTCAGCAATAAAAATGAGCATTCTAGAGGTCACGTGTTTTTAAGCACATAAACTGATGAAAGTTTTTGGGGAAGCTGGAGGAAAGATTGCTCCATTCTAAGGTCAGGGCATATCACAAGGCTTAGTATTCAGTAATGGCTTTTTATGATGTTAAGAGAGAGGTCACGTGTGTTTGAGGGTGTAACAATTGAACACCAACAGGTGCTGGAATTGATTGGGTCTTCCTCAACAAAAATTGGAATAGTGACAGATAAAAAGAGAGGCCCGGGTGTTAAAAAGAGCAAAAAAGACATACCCTAGATACAAGGCTTCTCTACTTGCAAGGGTAGGGATAAGGGTTAATTGTACGCAGTTTTTCCACGTATTTTACAAAGAGATTGTTTCTCAGACTCAAACATGTGACCGGAAGGTTACAAGGAACAACCTTACCGTTGCTCCGAGGCGTGCCCAAAATAGAGGCTAGAGGTTTATGATAGAATATTTCTGCCGAGTGTAATTTGAAAGACAATCTCTCCAACCATGTGCCAAGACACATAAACTGGCATGAATAAATTTACCTAGACGATACTTTTGTTACTGGATTCTGTATGTTTATAATGTGTTTACAATATGCCATCTAATCAAGATATGTGTTAACATTGGATCAACTTCATCATTTTTTAACTTTGTATGAAAAATAATGTTGGGGGATTTAAAGCGGATATATGATAACTACGGAATAAGAGAGCTCACCTCCTGATAGGATAATGATACAACTTTCCAACCAGCAGCAGTAACGTACCGGCGTTTTAGCATGGTATGTCCCAAAGGAACACCTATAACAGGCAAAGAAAAAAAAAACAATAGACTGGGTGAATCGGGGTAGTCAAGATTCAACTAGATTCAAGAGAATAGAAGGCTACACATTCAATATATGTAAACAAAAGATACACACCAGTATTTCTAGAGAAATGAGTTGGACCATCAATCTCCATAGCAAGCTTCTTATCAACTATTACGGCATCCAAAGTGTACACATCCACAACATATTCTTTGACCCATTTAAGGCCAGTGCTAATAAGAAGTCGTCCAACCTCTTTCTGAAATGAGGAAGTTATTTTCTGATTAAACCTTTTAGTTTTTCCAGCAAGAGCAACTTTATCCTCAAGCTCACCACATAATGACAACTGAAGATGTGGGAATTCAAGCTTCAAGCACTGGTTTACAAGATGAACCTGAGAAGCAAACATGATATCCTCCCTATACAGCTCCGAAATCCTTTGCTCCTCATAATGTCTCAGAGTTTTCCATACATATGAGAAGAAACTCCTATCCATTTGTCCAAAGACAGCATAGGACCAAGCTATAGTCGCAAGCTGGTCCCTACTCAAACTGAGTACAGGAGAGCCAAGAGATCCATTTGAGGCACCTTTTCTATCAGCACTGATTTGTTCATAATTATTTAATGTCTTTTCACCTGTGAAACCTCTCAATTGGATATGATCTTTGAAGACTCTGTCTAAAGAATCAAACACAGGATCAACAGGCTCGTATAGAGATGCAAAAGCCCACAAAAGCTGTGCGAGTTCTTGCTCTTGGAAAGTGTGAATTATGTCTGAAGCCCTTTTCGACAATTCTGAGAATAGATCAGGAGAAGAGTGCTGCATTGAAGCAAAAGCTCCTGCAATATTAGCGACGTTTTGAGAGTTGAATTCCCCAACCTTGGTCAATGCAACTTCTGCAATTCTATCCAATTCTGAAAAATAAAGCAGTTCGCCCCCAATTTTGGACAATGCCCAAGATATGTTAGAGATTCCTTGAGCAGAGCATTCAGGTAAGGCTGTCATTGCAATGCCCACAAGCATAGACATCTCTCTTTGTCGAGCAAAAGCCAGTCTTCGAGTTTTCATCATAGAAACTTTCTCCATATTCTTAGCAATGCGATGAAGAGCAGTAGCAATGTTCAAAGGGGAAAGAGGTGAGGGGCTTAGGCCTTTAGCAACTGCAACAATTGTTTCAGAAGTAACCTCTAACACATCCTGCGCAGTTTGTGCTTCTATAATTGCTTTGTTCAAGTTGAATTCTTTTCTATGGTCAGATGGCCCAGAGAATTGGGACAGCCTATGCACAAATTCTTCCATTGTTTTCTCCTTCTTTTCTACAAACATTCCATCGGCGATCAAGCTCACCGTCCTTTTCAAATCACCAACATCATTCAGGGGTTGCGTAGCCTGTGGCAGCTCCGAGTCTTCATCTGAACTATAGTCAAGATCATCTTCAATTTCCTCAATTTTCTTAAAAACTTTCTTCTTGCTCCCCAACTTCTTCTTAGCCTTCTTCTTTTTCTTCTTAACAGTTACCAAATCTTCCATAGCATGAGCCATGCCCCTTGCTTCAATTGATTTAAGCGCCATCTTTCTTGCCCTCACACACCAATCCATTCCATTGGTATCTTCAAGCAACTCTGACCTCTGTTCTTTTGCCCTTTTCTTGGGAGCTCGGTAACCAAATGGATCCAGTTCCCCAAGGAACTCCAATTCCCAATCCATATTAGACTCCTCTCCTTTATCATCACTATCCAGTGCAGCAATACTAGCTCCTCTGGAGCTACCGGCAGTGTCTCTACCTAAATGTGTACATTCAGTTCTCAGGGTGCAGGACTCGAGTTTTCGATTTAAGTGCCCAGTTCTAGTGATCACTGGGAAAGTATAACTAAGTCTTGGAGTGAAACCAAAGGGTTTTAAACAACTATGGTTAAGCAAAGAATTCAATAATCCTTCCATACTGTTCCCTTATCCTGAAAGAATACAAATAATTAATCAAACAGGTTTAATCATGCAACTCATTAAATTTTTTTCCCCTTCCCAGTTCCCTCCTTATGAACAACAATCAATAAATCACAAAAGGGGGTTCCTGCAAAAGCTGCACACATGAAATGGAACACCTTTCAATACAATTCATATGCAATAATATCAAAGAAACCATAATAAATCTGTATAAAATATGGTGGAAATTAGTTGTACATAATAAAATATAAGCTCAATAAAACGGTTCCAAAACTCAATCAACATTTCAGAAATATCGAGGCATGCCCAAAAAAACCAACTGGCTTTATAATAGGTCCACAACAGTTAAATATGATAAATATCATCGATAACAAGTACTCAAAATTGATGAACAAGAAAAAACCCATTTGCAGATAAAAGAGAAAATGAGAGAGAAAAAAAGAAAAAGACAAAAATAGAGATTTTGAAACTCACCAAGAAGCAGAGGAAGCCACACCTTTGAAGAACGAAGAAGAGTTTGTGTTTTTTCAGATAAAACTGTGATGTTTTATCTGATTTATTAAGGTGCGTTTTTTTACTGATAATTATAAAAGTTTTAATTTTCCCCTTATTTTAAAGAATTTTATACTGATAATTATAAAAGTTTTTAATTTTTCCCTTCTTTTTAAGTATTTTATCGAAACAGCGTCGTTTTAGCTCAGTCTATCTTCTTCTTCTGGTTCAGTGAATACAGAGTGTGAGTACTGAGTAGCAGAAATGGCTTCTTGTTCTTCTTGTTCTGCTTCATTCGCTAGCTTCTCTATTATCTCGAGACCTTATTCCCAACCGCAATTTATCCTCCTCAACTCTCCTCATCGAACCGGAACCCCTCATTCTCGACCCGGTTCAAGTCGGTTCAGATGCTCGGCTGGTCAGACCGGGTTCTTCACTAAAATCGGCCGCTTGATAAAGGAGAAGGCGAAGAGCGATGTGGAGAAGATCTTCTCCGGTTTCACCAAGACACGCAACAACCTCGCCGTCATCGACGAACTCCTCCTCTATTGGAACCTATCCGACACCGACCGAGTCCTCGACGAACTCGAAGAGGTTCCTGTTATTCACATATAAACTGTTTTTTAATTAATTAATTAATTAATTAATTTTTTTTTTTATTTTCAGGCTCTTTTAGTGTCTGATTTTGGGCCAAGAATCACTGTTAAGATAGTGGAGAATTTGCGCGAGGACATATTGTCCGGGAAGCTTAAATCAGGGAACGAGATAAAGGTACAATTCAACATACAAAGATAGAAGAAAATCTTTGAATTTTTTTTTTCATTGGTAACTCACCTAGAAAAGGGGCGATCCGGAGCAGTGGTAAAACTGTTCCTTCGTGACTCAAAGGTCATGGGTTCGAATCCAAGAAACAGCCTCTTTGCAATTATGCAAGGGTAAGGCGGCGTATAAGGATTTCCTCCACCCCACACTCGCTAGTCGGGTTTAACGGGGAGTGGTTTTTTTTTTTTTGGTAACTCACCTAGAGTGCTTCAAATGGCTTTAAAGACTCGAGCTTAGTGGTTGTAGTTTAGCATTTGCTTAGGAGTTTATTAAGTTAACTACCACTTTTTAGTTTGTTCCTATTTGTTTGTCAATTTTAAATAGTCAATAAGGTACTAACAACTTTTTTCAAACTTTGTCCATGTTTTTTTGTTATATTTATTAAGTCAAATGAGAGAGCATTAATAGAGATAGAGGATAATATAGTCAAATGAACTTATATTTTCTTGAATTTAAGATTTTTAATGAATTTCTTTTTTAATTCTAATGAGAAAGCTTAACCAAGATTATTTTAAAACGGGAGAGATTATTTAAAGAAGCAGGTTTTAAAGGTTTTTTGTGTTCCCAATATACCAAATGGTTTACTTTTTCATATAATGCTACCCATTCTTGTTTCCTTAACCAGTTTAAAATTTTGATTTGTTGCTGTCCTGGACTTTAGAAATGTTTGATATACTTATTTACAGGTTATGGTTTTTGCTTGGTCTGAATATGGAACTAATTACTAAAAATTTCCTTCCCTTGCTTTATCATGTTACTTAACATACCAGACAATTTCAATTTTTATGACATGGAATGTGTCATGCATTGATTTGAATGGCTTTAGGAAGCGCTGAAGAGGAATGTTTTGGAATTGTTAACCACCAAGGGGAGTAAAACTGAACTTCAACTTGGATTCAGGTGTGAGCATTTTTTAACTAGTTTTGCTTTGTTGCGGGTCATTGAATTTTATTGGGTTCATTTTTGTGCTTTATATTGGATATAATTTTGCTGTCATCAGGAAACCAGCTGTAATATTGATAGTTGGTGTTAATGGTGGTGGGAAGACAACATCTTTAGGTAAGAAAAGGACTTAAGGTGTTGATTCCAATCTTTTCCGTGAAATAAAATAAAAAATTGAGACAGTATGCAGTTATTTTTTATGTCCTAGGATAAATTTATTTTCTTTAAGAGTTAATAAAGGGGCGAAACCCACTCCATAAACGCTCCTTGACTTTGCGATGGTAGGGATGAGGGTACAATACATAGCATTACTCACCTACATAGCCGTACTTACCTTTTGCATTTTTTGTAATGAGATTGATTTCTAGATTCGAACCCGTGATCTTCTGGTCATGGAAGAGAGACCTTACCACCTCTCCAAGGTTTTCCCTCCTTTATTTAGAGTTGATGAACAAGCTAAAATATTATAAAGGTTGCATTGTGTCTCGTGATGATGGAAAATTATTCAAAAAAAAAGTTATAGGTATTGACATACATTATAAATTCTTAAACTTATAATTTTCAAATGCAGCTCTTCTTCCCTCCTCCACGCAATGTAGTTGTTTTTAACAGTTTAGAAATCCAAAACCATGTCGTTTTGATCAGCTTTTACTTGCAGGAAAGTTGGCCTATAGATTGAAGAATGAAGGGGCTAAGGTTAGATTATATTATCTGAGTTTTGCTTTGGTTTATGATTTTGATCTCCAACTGAAAGTGGGTTGGTCAACATAAAGTGCCATCTAACTGAATCCTCTAGAAATATAGACAGTTAAACGTTCTGGATTTCCTTCTTGAATTTCAGTTTCATTGGGGGACCAATGAGCAACTTTTGGGTGTTCAGTTAAATATCTGGAAGAATGACTTCCATTTGATTAAGCACCTTTTAGCTTCCCTTTGGTGTTTAGCCCACTGTTGTTTTAAGGGTGTTTCCACCTATAACTTTCAGGAAGATTAGCCATCCCTGCTTCATTATTAGTTTTCTCCTTCGTTCCATTTTCCCCATTTATGTTTTATTTGCTTGTAGAGGATACCTCAACGTCATTCAGAATAGCTATTTCTTTTACAAATTCAAGAGTAAAACTTCTCTTATGATCCTTGAAAGAGGCAGTGTTACTAAAATGAGAAAAGTGAATCAAATGGAAAAGAATCCGATCAAAAGGGGAAGAGGAAATACCTAATGAGAAACCATTAAAAAGGACCATACTCTAAATCATTTTTCTGAAATTGGTTTTTTACAGAGACAAACGACATCAATTAATCCATGTAGCCGACCCCATCTACTTGTATAATACTTGGTTGTTGTTGTTTTTGTACTTCTGAATTTCTCAGTTGTATCCTTGAAGGTTTTAGTTTGCCTATATTTAGTATACTCCTTCCACTATCCACATAGCTCGATGTTTTCAAATATGTAAAATTGACCCCAAGTGTGGAGCATGATTTATAATTCCAAATATGTAAAATGTAATTCCAAATTTCTCAGTTGAATCCTTGAAGATTTAGTTTGCCTATATTTAGTCCACTCCTTCCGCATAGCTTGATTTTTTCAAATATGTAAAATTGGCCCCAAGTGTGGACCATGATTTATACTGTTTGAAGTACAAACCTTATGATGATTCAGCTCTCAAGATTATTTCTCTTCTTCAATTCAGGTTGGATATTTTTTATTCAGAGGAGAGAATATATTGGAATTATTGTGTTTATATTTTTTAAAATTAGAAAAAGACCAGTATAGATGTTCTGTCTCAGGTGCCATTCGTATGTCTTAAAAGAAAATGTTGGTGCATCCTGTTTTTCTTTTTACTAATTTGATTAGACATGGTTGGCTTCTTTTTGTTTCTTTTCTATTTTCAGAAATCCTTTTTGGTTTAAGGTAAAAGGAGTTGAAGGATTTTGCTGTTGTTGTGTTTGAGCTTTAATATCTATGGTCATATCATATTACCTTCTGTTGTCAATATTTCGTGTTGGTCTTCTGTTCTCATTTTTGAAAATCTACCAGATATTGATGGCAGCCGGTGATACATTTAGAGCAGCTGCTAGTGATCAGCTGGAAATATGGGCTGAAAGGACTGGGTGTGAGATTATTGTGGCTGAATCTGAGAAAGCCAAAGCATCATCAGGTTCTAATGGATTAAGAATTTACTCCTAGCTCTGCTGTTCATTACTTGAGTTTTACAGCATCTTTAATTGGACAGCTTTTTATTTCCATTATTATTATTATTATTATATAGGGTGTGGATACTAAATTTTTGTACCTACTGTATTAATTGCAGTGCTTTCACAGGCTGTAAAAAAGGGAAAAGAGCTAGGTTTTGATATCGTATTATGTGATACATCTGGACGTAAGTACAAAAATTCTACAGCTAGCTGTTTTGAATTTTAATGAACTACTTCACTGGTTGTATATTAGCATTGGGGTTAATGTTATATTCTCAGGTTTACACACCAATTACAGCCTAATGGAGGAGTTGATTTCTTGTAAAAAGGCTGTGGCTAAAGTACAACCTGGCGCTCCTAACGTAAGCCCCAGTTTTTTGCACTTTTCCCTCTCAACTCAATCATTCTGCTGGTAAATCTTTAGGAATTGCTGAGCATTAGATCATACCTTGCTTGATTTTGTATCCATTACCAGTGTAATGGCTTATTTGTTCTTTCAAGTTATTTCCCAAGCTTTATTGTTCTTATCTTCCCTTTTTGGTTTTCTGACAATTATCTGAGGAATAAGCTTTTAGACTCCTTGGTGGAATTTGATGAATCATTATAACATGGATGGTATCTGTCGTCTTTGTTCCTAAACTCCTTACATTTGTACTTTGCTTTTGTTTGTTTTCGTTTAGATTGTGTCAATTGATTTATGCTAATAAACCTACCTTGTGCTCTCTTTACCTTTTTTATTCTTCAAATGAAGTAGATAAAAGTGTGATCAAACACCACATAGGCTAATACCTCCGTAATTGGGAGCATCTTTCTTACATGCTTGTGGGTTTTCATGTCTCATGAAATTTTCACCCTGAGCTTTTAATGTCATAGAAATGAGAGAATCTGCTTGAAGCACAACTTTATTAGTGAAGACTAGAACCAACAGTAAACAATTCTAAGAAATGTTTTCAAAAAATGATTGGGGTGGGGATTGGCGTTCTTATTGCTGATAGTGTCTTTTGATGATGTAGTCCCCATGTGCAGAAGGGATGGCAATATTTGCTTTCTATTTGTTTGTTGTTCAAGGCAGTTCCTATTATAGTTTTTTATATTTTTCTTTGCAATCTATGAGCTAATTAATTCTTTAGTAACATGACAGGAATATATTGAGTTACCATTAAGTGAACTACATCCATGGCATTTGTTTCCTTCATCTTAGACATCTGGATTCTTGACAGGGTTCAAGCTGTTGCAGAAAACTGTGTATCTGTTAGGATGTAGTAATTAATTATTTGCCCTTAGGTCTTTTTTGTACTTGGATAAAGCTTGTTGATGTATATATGTATGTGAGGAGTCTCAGAGAGAAAAATGTCTTTCCTTGAACTTCTTTTCCATCTCTCTCGCACACACACAGACAGAGACACATCCATCTAAAACAGTATAAATTGTGGGTGTTAACAATGCTTGCAGGAGATCCTACTGGTTCTGGATGGGACTACTGGTTTGAATATGTTGCCACAAGCGAGAGAGTTCAATGAAGTAAATTCTAGTTGTACTCTTTAAATTGGATATTTGTCTTATTTTGTTTGGGAAAATTGTTATTTACATATTTGAAACCCTGCTATAACTTTATGAGAATATCATGCGGCAATTCACATTGCTTCTATAGGATTGGTGTTGGAACTCTGAAGCTGAAGATTTTCTTTCAATGTTATAATTGAGACAGAAAATGAGAAGAGATGGTAAAACAATTCTACATCAAATTTTTCAACTTCTTGATGTTGGATTTCATTGTACTGGGAATTAAATTTATACAAGTTCCTCATTAGTTTGACTTAATTATTTGATGCATATGGGGGAAACATTTATGCAGTAATGGAATTGACCTTCTTAATTTGCTTCTAACTGCCAATTTCTATCTTATTAATTTAATTTTCTCCTTAAACTAAAGAATATAATAGTTAGTAAAGCAATACTAAGGTACTTTCTGTCCCTTCCTGTGTAATTATACTGTGATGCCCAAATCAAGGTCATGGATGTAGTAAACAGTTTGATTTGGAAAGAAAAGGATGTAGAAAACACGCCCTGAAATGGGAATAGAGGGAACAGATTAGAAAGAGAGGCATCATACATATGTTGAAAAAAAATATCAAAAGGGAAGTAGGGAACTCCTGAAGGTTTATAGGTTTATTTCATTAGCATGCATATCACACCAAACTGCAGCCAATGAATGGTGACCAATATGTTTTAGTTTTCGGATATGGCAGTGCTGTGAGTTTCTCACTCTTAAAAGTCTTATTTTGCATTGCTTTGCTTATTTTAGCTATTTATGACCATATGATCTCAATATCTGGTGTAATGGTTGCCTCACGGTTTTGTATTAACTCACTGTTAGCTGTTATTGTAATTGATTTGACTCAAGCCTTTGATCCTGGGACAGGTTGTGGGTGTTACTGGTTTAATTTTGACCAAACTGGATGGTTCTGCTAGAGGTGGCTGTGTGGTATTCTCTTCCTTTTTTTTAATCTTAATGGATATTTTATAGTTTTTTGAACTTAATAAATTTTCATCATTGGTATTATTTTTTGTTGCTCGGGTGATCATGGTAATGATTAAGCTAGTAATTTTTGTTGCAGGTAAGTGTGGTTGATGAGCTTGGAATCCCTGTAAAATTTGTGGGTGTTGGTGAAGGCGTTGAAGACCTTCAACCCTTTGATGCTGAGGCCTTTGTCAATGCCATTTTTATGTAAACCTATATTAGGGTTTGGTATGTACATCATGACTTTTCCTTTTCATTCCTTTCAAAATTGAGTTTGAATTCTTTTCAAACCTGTCACACTAATTGGAGTTCAACTCCACCGATAAAATATAATCGCCCTTCCCCAATTTTTTTTAAAATAATTACAGCTTAAAAATATCACTCAACCCTATACGAATCTACATCCCAGACATACTTCCCTCTAGTGAATTTTGCAATTTAACAACTCATCTAAGCCTAACATTTCTTGTTGTGTGTCGCTAGGCATGGCTGTTCTGTTAGGTGTTACATAATGTCAACTTAAATTCAGAATACTTCCACTTGCCACTTGGGCTGTAAGGGCAGGGTAAGCTTAGAGTGAGGGTTAAAGGTCTTTGGTTCAATCTCTGTATAAAAAAATCCAAAACAAAGAATAATAGATTATTACATTTTTTGTTAACTTGAATTACTTATACTTAAGCCTTGAAGTTCCTTTCTTGCATATCTGTGTCAACCTATTGTTTTTTGACAGTCTTATATATGTTATGGTTCAGAATCATTTAGTAGCAGAACAGCTTGACATGAATATGCAGAGCAACAGCAGGTCACAGTGAAGATGACATTTTACTATGAAGCCGTTCTAGGGAGAGGCCAAGCATTGCGAAATCATGTAAATGATTTTGAGGTGCAGAGCTGTTGTTGATTTCGAAGCATGCTGAGTGTATATAGTCCTTTTTCATGCTCTGTGGCTGGCAGTTTCTGACAATGCAAATGAGAGATAGAGTTTAGAACTGAAGGATTTTATTGTGGTGTGCATGTAAATGATACTACGGAAAATGTAATCAGTAAACACATGCTCCATTGTCTGTCAATATCTGATTAATGATGTTATTTTTCTTTTTTTCGACTTCTCAATGAGGTTTCCTATTTCACTGTTTTTGTCTTGTGTATGTTCCTATCCATTGACGACTTTTAAACTATTAATAATAATAATTTCCAGTAACAATTTTTGCCGGTTTCCCGAGGGGCTTGTTGCTTTAGAGCTTGTCTTTCAACGATAAAGTACTAGAGGATCAAATCATTAGAGAGAGAGTGAAGGAGAGTTAGAAGATGTATGAGGTATTCTAAAATACCTCTATTTCAATTGTTTTTTATTTTTTGAGTTTTCGTTCTCATTTAATTTATTTAAAAACATGAAATAATAATGTAATACTCTTCGCCCACATTCTTTCAATTCACCACTTTGTATAAACCACATGATCTATCAGCAGCATTCTAAGTTATCCATGTCAATTTACACTCTTAACAAGTCAATTTTGTTATAACAAACATTAAATGGAACTGTAAAACAACGTCCCACAGAAAGCTAAATGTTCATAAACTGGCAACTGGCATGTTATAGAAGGTAGCATGAGTAATATATAGCAAATTGCCAGTTTTCTTCAGTTTAAACTCAAGTGTAACTACAGTCAGATTTCTTCCAGTCTTCACCACGGAGGCATTAGCTTGCACTTCTTCCTGCAAAAACATATAGTGCAAAATCCATTTATTAAAAGGGTTTAAGCATGAAGAGGGTATGGGAGCATGAAAATGGCATATGGAAATAGGACTGCTAAGTTGGCAACAGTGACAAGGTTTAACATTTCTTCCAAGCGATTTAGAAATTTGTGAATTTGGATAATGTAATTTGCAAGGTGCACTTAGAGGAAAATGCAAGTGATAACTATTAATGAAAAAAATCAAGGCATTGATTTATGACAAATTCACAGTTTGTTCTAACCTTGTGTTTTTATTCAATGGATATTGATAGTACACTTAATCACCATGGACATTTTCATCCAAAATACTCTAAGGGGACGTTTGGTTGAGGAGAAATTTTTAAGAATAATAGGAAAATATGATTACTAGGGAAATGGTTGGAAAGTGAGTTTGGTAGGAAAATGTAAAAAAAGTTATTTGGTTGGGAAAAATTTTACTAGAGAAATTAGATAACTTTTGTAAAATCTATATTTGGCTTTTTGTAAAATATAGATGGGAAAAATAATACAACATTACGAAAATAACCTTGTATGTTTAGTATGACGAGTGCAGTCTAAAATGAATTTAAGAGCATTCTGTACAATATGAATGTACGTTTGAACTTCTTATAATGTTAAGAGACTGTGCCTAACTTGTTTCCATGTTTCCAATTGTCACAGAAGTTTATATATGTGTAAGCTTTTATCTTTGTCTTAAATACGTTCATTAAATCACCCATTGTTTGCTAATATTAATTATAACCAAAAAGAACTTTAATTAACTTCGGAAACAGACTTAAAAAGGATTCACGAGTCACTACAAGAAGAGGAAGAGCTTGTCTCCTACACGGTGCAATAGAATGCAGGTGAAAATGTAGTGAGATGGGATAATTTATTTTATTCTTGGAATAAAAATGCTTGTTCACAAAATCACTATTCAGCAGTGGACTTTGTTTCCATATATATATATATATATATATATATAAAAGTGCTGAATATTAATTATTGTCACAGATATACAACAGATGAAAAAATTCTGCTCTCTGTTGTGTGTAACATTATTAATCATCGAGGAGGGTATAATGGGTGTCTTCAAAGTGTGTCAACAGTGCTTTACCCGGGTTTTAAAAAAAAACCACCCTCAAATTCGCTTTCTAAACAGTGCCGATACCTTTCTTTTTCAGGCAAAGTTGAAAAAGCCATGCAAATTACATGGATGGGGATTTGATCATAATCTGTTGAAAGTTGAAACAAACGTTGGCTTTCTAAGAACCTTACTTCATTTGCATAAGAAAATGTTGAAAAGAATGGAACCAAACACCACCTAATGCAGTTCTGGAAAGCCTCAAATATGAGATGCAAGAGTCATCTAGCAAGTATCAATGCAACTCACCGACATTACATATTCAGTGACTATGAATTATGAAACAATAGCCATTAATTATGAGCTAGGAGTCCCAGTCTACAAAATGCCTTTTCGCATAGTATTGCAATAGTGAACAATGGAAAGAATCAAAACTGAATAGAAAGAACTCACGTTTGTTGGAGTGGCAGAGAGGTAAGAAATGCTCATTTCCCCAAGAAAAAGTTCCTTGTCCTCAGCAACTACTGTTCTTGCACAAGCAGTACACAGAGCTTCAACGAATGACCCAACAGCCCCACCATGCAGTGTTCCATAGCCATTCTGCAATTCCAATAAAGAAAATGAAAAAAATTCCATGTACATTGTACAATCACATGACATTTTTTGAACAAAATTTTAATTTTGACCCAGACAATAAATTCAGTTCATAACAAAGAAATTGGGAAAACTTTAATATTGAAACCAAAATTGCAGCTTTTCAATTGACTGCATAAGTCTTCTCAACAAACCAAAAAATTTCATACTCCCCAAACAATAGTTAATATATGAGTAAATACGGTCCCACTTTAATTCCTAAAAAAAAAACAAATTAGTAAAGAGGTTGCTGACAAATTCAAAGTAAACCTATTTAGTTGAAATCGTGGTCACTCACAAATTCAAAAAAGACCAACATTAATCCATCAAAAAGACTAAAATAGGTCCACTTTGAATTTTACAGGAAGGAACCAGACGACTAATTTATTTTTATTTTTGTAAGAGACTAAAGTGGAACACATGATTTTTTTCGTCAGTGACCCAAAAGTGGCTCTACTCTTAATATATAAACAACAGCAAAGATTACGAACAATTATCTAGGAATTCATCAGTAATTTCAATCAACCAATCAACAAAACATTTCAAACCATAGATTGATCTTATTTCCCAATTTCCTGAGCTACCAAACAGAACATCAAAAAAAAAAAAAAAAAAACCAAAGAAAGAACCAATTAACAGGGGATTCCTAATAACTATCTTGGAAAATATCATAAATTTCACGGACCACATTGAACAAAACATTTTAAACCAACTTCCTCAGCTAGAAAACAGAACATAAAGAACAATAACATAACAAAACAAAAACAAAAAGGAAGAAGCAAGCAAGCAAAGCAAGAGAACCAAAAGGGGTTTACACAGATAGGTGGTTTGGCGACAATAGTGCAAGAGATTCTTCCTCGTTGGATATGATCGACTTTGATGAAACTCCGAAGAAAGAGGGAGTAGAAGCCATGGGTGTTACAATTTTCAGGAACGGGGATGCCAGCGCCCATAGTGTTAACGAAATGCAAGGTCTCAGAAGCATGTTGAGGATCCACTTCCTTCGAAACTTTCAGTGATGGCGAGGCACACATAGCAGAAGCGGTGGCGGAAGTTTTCGCCGCCATATCTGACTTGCTGGAACGTTCAATCAGACACATACGTTATCATCGTCACTTTGTTATTTTTTTATGTAAAAAATGTTTTGTCACTATATAGTTATGTCATTTTGATATAATTTAAAAACATTTATTTAAAATTTAGATTTTAAAAAAAAAATTACTCCCTTTTTCTTCTATGATTTCCATTATTTATATCTTTCTTTCATTCGTGAGAACATAATTCTAAACATTAAATCCTTTTTTATTTATTAATGAGTTTCAATTTTCTCATATATAATAAGGAATAGGTATCTTATACTAAAGACATATTTTATATTGGATCCAAATTTATTTATATTAAAAAATATACAAAAATCGAAAAGTCATTATTAAGAGAAAACAATTCTCCTAATGGAAGTTTGTTAGAGCTCCTTAAAAATAATAAAAGTGTATGAATGGTCAACTTTTTTGTTTAATTCAAAACAAATTGCCTCAATTATTTCTTGAAAGAAGTAGCGCAAATCGTATAGATGTATATCCAATTTAATTTTTATTCAATGGTGCCATATAATTTTTAAATTAAAATTAGGATAAAAAATTGGAAAAGGTTATATTTACAATTTTTTTTTTTTACAAATTCTTATATATTACATTATGTACTAGGGATAGTACATTATATACTGGAATGTATTACTCCTAGTACATAGTATAGTTTGTAAAAGTTTGTAAATATATCTTTCTCCTAAAATTTTTACTATGTTTAAGAATTTTAAAGAGCTCTTTAAAATGAGAAATGTGTGATAGAGCCTAGTAGTGTTTGGTTGGGGAAAAGTGAAAATTATCCTAGCCAAGTGCAGGTGGAAATGTGAAACTCCATGTTTGGTAGAAACATTTTGGTTGTCTTTGACGTCATTATGCTTTGTCTAGCATTTGAGAAAAACAAGTAAAAACCGAATAAAAGCACTGTTTGGAAGCCCTCTGAGACCGTGGTATTGTTGTGGAAAGCGGATAACTCGAAAAAGCACTTCATATCAAAGACAACTTTACCCCTCTTCTTTACCTGTATTGGAGACATATCCCCTCTGCATATAGTCAAGAGGGATCCAAGAGACAAGCTTGGCACAAGTGTTAGACCCCAAAATACAGCTTCTGATAGTGTTCCAATAACGAGGATCCTTTATTCTCTTCCTCAACCATGGTGAGTAATGCTGAAGATGATACTCATTATAAACTCTACCAGGCACTTCTACACCACCACCCTTGCTAGTTACACCAAAACCAAATATAGTGAAACCCAGCAGTGCTACTATGAGGAACTATTCTGCTCTTCTTTTTACTTTTTTCTGTCATTCTTCATTCAAGGACTATTTGAGAGCTCAGTCTATGACAAAAAACTCCTACCTTGTAAAATACAGAGCTATGTTCTTCTTCCTGAGATTCTTCTATTGACAAAAGACTCATCTTTAGATGCTTGCGACACCAGATACTTGCCTAATTGATGAGAATGAGTTATAAGAAAAGACATATCTTACCAGAAAAGTTAAGAAATGCAACAAAGTGTTAAAGTATACATGGATGAAGAGAAGAAGAAAAGGAAAAAAATATTCCCAAAATTTTACATGCAGGGATATTTTCGTAATTGTCACTTATTTCCCCATCTATATTTTACCTCAAACCAAACACAGACTTTATAAATCTTACTTAATTTGCTCGGTAAAATTTTTTCCAACCAAACAACTTTTTTTACATTTTCTTACCAAACTCACTTTCCAATTATTTCCCTATCAGTTACATTTCCCTCGTATTCAAAAAATTTCTCCTCAACCAAACTATACCTAGAGGATTATTTACTAACCTTGGTAGTTAAAATTGAGATTTTAATTAAAATTAGAAGAAGAATAAAAAATCGTAAAATATAATATCCTAACTTAAAAAATTCGTAAAAATGTAAAACATTTGAAATTTTAATGAAATCATTTTAATTAAAAAATTCATAAAAGCATAAATTTAAATCAGGATTTAAACTACGATGTTGTCACCATCAGTTAACTCCTATATGTACTTACGCTTTATACCAGAGTTTTCCCGTCTATTCCACCAAAATCTTCCTTCATGTTGCAAAGTTTTTTATTTTATTTGGGAAAAAGTTTCCGATGTTACTTTAGATAATTTTATCTAATGTTCATCGAAACGACGTCGTTTTGGGTTGAAAAATTAAAAAATTAGAATGATAAAGACTATTATAACCTTGAAATAAATTAAAATTATAAAAATACCATGATTTTCGTCCCAAAACGACGTCGTTTTAATGAACATTAGATAAAGTGATTTAAAGTAATATCAGAAAAAACAAACCCATTTTATTTTACACATAACATAATTATTTTTTGAGGCGAATCCTTGTATCTATTTCCACGAGCTTTAATTTTTTGACTTATTTATAAGATCAATTCCGAATGAGGGGAATTGATATATACAAGTAAAATATTCATTGACGCATTAAATTATCATTAGACATAAACTATACCAACATTCAGGGTCTGTTTGGTGTGATCTGTAAGGCTTAAGGGCATTTTTGGTGCATAGTATAGTATAAGGCCTGATAGTATAAGACTTGATTGTATAAGATCTGATTAAATTTTAATACTATCCTGCGTTTGGTATGGTATTGTATAAGATAATATTCTCTAATATTTTAAAAATTAATATATTAAAAAATTATTTTAATATATTAATATTGAAATGATATATTAGTTCTTGAGAATTGTACTTTTAAGCAACATTAATACATCAACCCCTTATCAAGCCTAATCCTACCCCCTTAGGCCTGATTATACATCATTTTGATGTATAAAGGGATCATGTTGTATAAGCTTATACTATACGATGGTCTCACCAAACAGCTGAAAATGTCATATCGTATAGTATAAGCTTATACTATCAGGCCCTATTCATCACACCAAACAAGCCCTAATAGAGCCTGATAGTATAAGCTTATACTATACGTTATGACATTTTCAGCTGTTTGGTGTGACCATCGTATAATATAAGCTTATACAACATGATCCCTTTATACATCAAAATGATGTATAACTTAATCAAGCCTAAGGGGGTGAGATTAGGCCTGATAAGAGGTTGATGTATTAATGTTGCTTAAAAGTATAATTTTCAAGAACTAATATATCATTTCAATATTAATATATTAAAATAATTTTTTTAATATATTACTTTTTAAAATATTTGAGGATATTATCTTATACCATATCATACCTAACGCCGGATAGTATTAAAATTTAATCAGATCTTATATCATCAGGCATTATCCTATACTATACACCAAACGTGTCCTCAATCTAGCAACACTGTTATTCTGCAACAGGATTAAAATAACAAGTTAACAACAAATATTTATGGGAATTAAAATGACTATTCTATTTTTCTCTAAATAATCCGTTTAAATTTAAATTATATAAATCAATACACATAATTAATGCAAGTTATATATTTATGCAATTAATAAATAACGTTCAACTTATAGGGTTTGTATATTGTTTCAGTTTTTCTTTAAACTTATTCATGCTTGAAATATTAATTCCATTTATCTTTTACTTTATGTTGGTATTGCTATTTTTTTCCATTATTATTTTCATTCCATACTATATATGAGTTGATTTTAATTTTTTTATTTTTAATTATAGGATTATAATATCGTATTTAGCCAATGTTGCATGCACTGTATGCAAAAATAAAAGATGCAAATTACTATGTATAAGTTTGAATTACATGTTTTAATTTATTTTGGAAAAGTATATTTTATTATTTTTAAAATAACATATTTACATTCCAAAGAAAGTTTCGAGTTTCATTTAGTCAATTTCATGATAAGAAATGAGTAAATGAAAGAAAAAAATAAATAAAATTCACCGTTTGAACCAAATGATACATTTTGCATTGTTTTGAAAGCACTAAGATTTAAATAAATTTATTAGGGATAGGATATTGTGACACATAAATAATGTTACACACAATGTTACGACCACATCTTAACTGTTGATTTTCGTCAATCAACGGTTATCATTTTTCAAATCAAACTCATTAATTAATTATTAATTCGCAATAAATGATAACCGTTGATTGGCGGAAATCAACGGTTAAGATGTGGTCGTAGCATTGTGTGTAACATTATTTGTGTGTCACAATATCCTATCCCATTTATTAATAACAAATATATGACATATGTAATTATATTAGTTTTATAAAAATTTAAAAAGATTAACTTTTTATTATTTATAATATATTATTATAAGTATAAATTTAATTTTAATTTAATCAAATAGTACTAAGTCTCATAATTTAACAAAGAGAGAATATTACATTAAGATATTAATATTAAATAAATAACAACATATAATTTTAATTAAAAAAAAATTTAATTATAAATTTTATTTGTTAACTAAAAAAAATTCAGAATTTTTTTTGGATGGCACGATTAGAGCATGTCCCAAGAACAAGTGGTTTGGAAGACATGTCTCACAATCTGAAGTTTTTCCCATCAAATCCCATATTTTTGTCCCTCTAAGTTACGATGGTAAAGCAAACAGAAAAGCACGTGAATTAAGAAAGGGAATAAGGGGTTTTGGAATGCAAAATGTATGAGTTTTTGTCTATCAATCTTTACACTTAAATTTATACTAAACTGTGAAAGAGCTGTCAAAATGAGCCACCGGCCCTAGTCCACGTGGGCCAGGGCCAAAAAGCCCAGATATTAAACAGTGTGTATGGGTCAAAAAATCATATAACCCGATGGATTAAGGCCAGCTCACGGGCTAAATTTTTTTATTTTTCAGATTAAACAATTAAGCAATTATAGCTGCAAATCAAAAAGTATACATCCAATTAACATCACTGCAAAATGCATTTAGCAATTAAGCATTTTGCAAAAAAATTATGAGCAACTATTTTGAGGAAATTATAATATGATCAATCATTCAAAAGATACAACTATAAACATAATGTATATAAGAACTGAGAGCGAGTGAATCTCACGCGCCTAAGATTTTTTCTCTGAAATTTTCCGTTGG